AAATCTAAACCCTAAACCCTAAGATGGTGTTGACACGCAATGTAGAGAGTGGCAGGGACCAACAGGTTCTCTTCCCTTTGCGTATGCCTGTAACCCTGAGCGTACAGTTTCGGGGTAGGGTTTAGGAGGGTTTAGGGCTTAGAGTTGAGGGTTTACGATTTAGGGCGTAGGGTGTCTAGGGCTAAGCGCTTACGATCTCTTACCTCAATTGCATACAGGTTATAGTGGTAAGTAACTCTAATTAGAATGTTAAAAGCCACGAACCTGTAGGCGATTGGGCGTGCAGGTGCTGCACTAGAATGCCTTACCCAAAACCTAAGAGATCCAGTAAGGAACTACAGACGACCTTCGGGGTATACTGCCCAGCAGCTGAGTGAAGTCCCCAAAGGGAGTGGGCGTTGTCTTGCCCGAAGTGTCGTAAGCACAGCGTAGGATGAGGTCGTCCCCTAGCAATGTCAAAAAGTGAATCAGGTGCCGTTCAACAGGGATATAGTATCCGGTTAGATGTGGCGGTAAATGGAGATATAGTGCCCCTTAAGTAGATCGAATATGGCTTTGGGTAAATCATGACAAGATCCCCATATACCCCATATTCTATCTACTCAAGGGGGACCCTAAACCCTAATTCCTAAACCCTAAACCCCATATTCTATCTTTTAAAGGGGGACTATATCTTTAAACCTCACAAATACCCATAATAAGTGCTGTAAATCATGGGTACATGGAAGGTCAGGGATGCTTCGTGGAAAGGGTTTAGGGTTTTGGGGGAGATGTTGATCAGGGAGCCAGAAATGCTTCTTCTGAAGCCCCAAAGCCTTTACTTTTAAAGAAATCCAATCTGCTGTGCCCTCCCGCCGCACTTTCCATGCCTCTCCGCACCTTCTTCACCTCAGCTGAACAGCTTCAGTCCTGGTCCTCCCAAAGTGCTGGAAACTACTATAGTATATAGGGGTTATATTGGGGTTATATATGGATAATGGAAAAGAAAATTGAAACTACTGTTTAGGGTTTAGGGTTAAGGGTTTAGGCTGAAACCTTGACGTCCAAAGCAACTTGTCTGAGCATGCTCGCACATTGAAAGCAGCAACGGGTCCTGCCTGATCTTAGCGCGCAACTGCGAATGGGCCCTTTCGAATGCTGAAGGCGCCAAACAGTAGGCAGTCACATGGCTCTATTCACCTTGATATTCCCAAAAATATTCGTCCTCAATATAATCCCCTACATATCCACCCTTTAAGGCGTTTAGACCCTAAACCCCACACTGCACACCCTAATCCCCCATATGTCCCACCCTTGAAAGAGTTTAGGCCAGAGCTCTCATGGGGCCATGCAAGGGTCCTAAGATTCTTGGAGTGTTGAGAAGGACGGCAATGCAGACAGGCAGCCGACGGCGGCTCCAGAGACTGGTGGTTGAAGTCCTGACTGCTATTACTGTTGATGGATGAAATCCTACACCACCTTAAGTCCCTAGAGTTCTAGGAATTACAGTAGTTTGGGGGCTCTAAGTGGTGCAAGATTTCCTCCATCAACAGTATTACTACTATCAGTATTACTACTCCGTTTAGGGTTGAGGATTTAGGGTATTAGTACCGCTATTGCTACTCCTATTATCCACTATCATTCCTGTTTTGACTATTCTTACTACTATTATTACTACTATCACTATTGTGGATATTCATAGTACACTATTATTGCAATTGTAATTACTCTTACTACTCTAGCTGCTGAAGCTTTGGGTGTTGGAGACGACAGCTTTGCGTACGCGGCCGCTTCAAGAGAAGTTGGATAGATATCACAGGCTGGACTATACGCGATTAAGATGTTGGTTACTTCAACGTCGAGGGTTTAGGATTTAGGGTTAAAAGTTCCTGCGACATGGAGCTTGGAAAAGGGGTTGCCTCGACTCATCAACCCTAAACCCCAAACCCTAAACCCATAAACCCTAAACCCTAAACCCTAAACCCCTAAACCCTAAACCCTAAACCCTAAGCCCTAAACCCATGATGTGTGAGCCTAAGGCCTTTGGGCTCAGATCTGCCCTGATCTCTATCCCTAGCCCCTCCAAGTAATAACCCAAGAAGGGCTTAAGTACCACAATTAGGGTTTAGGGTTTAGGGTTTGGGGTTTGGGGTTTAGGGTTTAGGGCCCTACAGCCCCAATGAAGGGCACCAGGAAATTGAACGTCCTGGGCGCTACCTTCCACTTGATTCCCCATTATTTCTAATTTTCAAACTCCTATACCATCCATAGAAATATTTCTAGCCCTAAACCTCAAATCCCTTCTTAACCCTAATTGAGGGTACCAGGAGGAGCTTTGTAAGGGCAAAAACGAAGCTCTGCAAACGCTTCTGAAGGCCCTCCAACGGTACATAGGACATCTTTACTCTTACGCACAAGCACGTAGGTACTTCCTTTTTGGGTCTGTTCTGGTTTTTGGTAAGTAATCATGAAAATCCCTTAGCCCTGTCATATAGTACCCAAAAAGGAACAATATAAGAGGCTATGGGCAGACCCACTGACCATGCATTCAAGACAAAATTCTGAAACATGATCACCTGCGCGCTAATTACTGCATCTACCCCTCCAAGTACAAACTCTCCGCCATTGTTGTCTACATAAGCCCTAAACCCCAAACCCTAAACAGCGCGCTCAGCGCTGAAAACCTGAAGCCCCCAGCCCGCCCCACAAGGGCGTTTCCAAAAACTACGGCCAGTTGTTGTGAGTCTCTATAGTCATGACTCTGGTATAGTGGGTGACATAGTCATGACTTTGGTATAGTGGGTGACTAAACCCGAAAGCCTAATCTTACCCCAATATTGTGGAATGTTACTTCGGCGAGGCCATACCCAAACTACCCACTACAACATGCCCTGCCCGTGTTGATGAGCTGCATAGAGATGCTCCAGACGCATTGCACCAACCTGTCAGCGAGAAAATCCCTCAACCCTAAACCCCAAATCTTAAGCCCGAAACCCTGAATCTTAACCCCTAAACCCTGAATCTTAAACCCTAAACCCTGAGTCTTAACCCCTAAACCCTGAATCTTAAACCCTAAACCCTGAATCTTTAACCCTAAACCCTGAATTTTCAACCCTAAACCCTAAATCCTCAACCCTAATCCAGAGGTACATGCACAGGTGTGGTGAGGGCTTTGTTGCCTGGACGATTACCAATCCCGGAGAACCACATGCAAAAGAAGATGGTATATTACAATGGAAACTACTTGGTCTGGGATGTACAGGGTTGAGCTCGGGATTTAGAGATTAAGGTAATAGCTGAATCAAGTGGAAAGAGGATGAACAATGATATGGAAACTGGATCTTATGTAGAGATTCTGCAAGTGGATCATGTTCTGAGGTCTGTTGGAGGTAGCCTATACTAGACTTAAACAGGAACCTAGCACCGTAACATTGGTAATCATTGTCAGGCCTCTTTTCTTGCTCGTGGCTAGTAGGGAGTGAGGGAATGTAATCCCGCCTCTATAAACCCTATTTGATCTTAAGCCCTAAACCCTCAACATATATTCCCTCATTCCCCACTAAACCCCAGTAAAATTTGCCGCAGGGTTTAGAACTTAACCATCAAGGCTTTCCGACGTGCGGCAGCTGCTGTGCTTCGACTTCAAAGTTTGCTTGCTTTTTGAGAAACCCTAAACTCTAAACCCTAAACTCCGAACTCTGAATCCTACACTCTAAACCCTAAACTCTAAACCCTAAACCCTGAGGGCAGAGCCCTACCTCCATCCTTTAGGACAGACCTGGCAAACCTCCTCACAACACCGCACAAAATCTAGGGTTCAGGGAGCTTAGAATTTATGTAGGGCATTAGGGCTTAGGGTCTAGGGGGGTAAGTAGGGGATTAGGGTTAGGGTTTGGGGGTTATATAGGGGTTTTGGGCTGAGGGCCGATAGGCCAAGACAGGCCTCATGGGAAGCAAGCGTTTCTGGTTAGGGTTCAGGGTTCAGGGTTTAGGGTTCAGGGTTTAGGGTTTAGGGTTCAGGGTTTAGGGTTTAGGGTTTATGGTTCAGGGTTTAGGGTTTTGGAGCCCAATTGATTTTCCATGTTCTTTTCCATTTGATTCTCCATGATTAAACCCTATACCGCGAGTAATGTATCGTTTCCTGAGTAGACTGGTGATAGGACTTCCGAATCTAGTGCCATCTTTTCCAGATAGCCTCTTTCACGTGCACGACTGACAACAGTCAAAACCAGACGGGCTAAAGCCAAAGCTCCTAGTATCCCCCTTGATGACCCCTATAAGTGTTCCCTATATAAACTTTTCAAGAAGTTGAGACTCTAGTTCAGATCCCAGCAATCCCAAGTACCTATACTGAAGGAAGACTCCGAAACCATATCATGAACTCCTAATACAGAAGCCCTACATTGTACCATAGAAGCACTTAGGATCCTTCGGGAAAATGAGAAGCCAATGCTCATGGGTTCCCCTACTACCCTCCTCTGTACTACCCAATGCTAGCCTCCCCCTTAATGAACCTTATTTAAGGCGAATTATCCTTAACTCACCTTAATGAAGGGCAGAACCAAGGGGGGGGGGTAGTAGGTGAACCCATGAATGAGATGTAGAAGCCTTAACTAACCCTAAACCCTCAACACTAAACTCCTAAACCCTAAACCCCATCAAGCGGAGCTGCGTACTCATTGGCCCGGACAACGTCAATGTTGAGAGACCTTTTTCTCGCTTTGTGGTTTGGGACTTAGGAGAGGGCATGGGGTATTCCATGGTTTAGGGTGTAGGGTTTTACGGATTTAGGATTTAGGGTTGAGGATACATGGTTTAAGGTTTCGGGTTTAGGGATATGAGTATTTAAATGGGCATGTATATGGGTGGTTGTCAAAATTATGATCCTTTTCGGATCCCTATTATAATACGGCACCTAATATTTAGGGTACCCAAGAAGGGGCCATAATTTTGACAACCACCCGGAAACTTACAAGCGGGCTGATGTGGGGGACTTCCTGGATCCGTCAGATTGCTTCCCGCCTGCTAGCGGAGTCAAACAGAACGAAAATACCCTAAGCCCTAAACCCTAAACCCATGAGCCCTAAACGCTAAACCCTAAACCCTAATACCGTAAATCCTCAACCCTAAATCCTAAGCCCTCGAGAATGGACTCCAAGCTCCTCTAGTCAAAGCATACACATGTACGCTTCTAGCTCACATCTGTACATGATCTACCCAAGAACGTTATCTCAAATGATTTCGAGGGCTTGCCGTCGGCATCCTACAACTGTGCGACCTTTAAAAGGGAATATAGCCGCTGTATAGTCCCTATATCGTATACTTCCTTAGTCCCTACTAAGCTAGTACGTTAACATAAGATGGAAGCCCCAAAACACAAAAAATGCCTCCTAAGTTGCAGTAAAATCCCATGTAAAACACTTCTTTGAATCCATCCCCATGGTCACTGTCATGGGGTTAGTTTCCATAAACAGGGGGACCACATTTATAGACCCCCAAAAACATTAGAATCCTTATGATGGGGATCCCCAAAAAGGTACCCCGAAACCCCAAACCCTAAACCCCAAAGCCCCTAAACCTTAAAACCTATACCCTAAACCCCCCCCTAAACCCTAAACCCCCAAATCGGTGTCATGTTCGCTACGGCCTGCTTCTTCATCTGGACCCCGGATGTTCTACTTTTTTAGACTGTGGGAAATTCTCGAACGGAAGGGTGTTTCTAGAGACCCGAAGAGATATACAGGGATTCTATAGGGATAATGGAGAAGAAAATGGAGACTAGTATGTTAGGGTTTAAGTGTTTAGGGTTTATGGTGCCGTACTAGAAATGCCTATATGCCTTATACATTACCTGTCAAGATGTTGGACAGAACCCGCAAAGGAAAAACATGCAGAGCGCGATCCGGACTTCTTGCTGGGCAAGGTGCTTGCCAACCAAATGTGCGTGATAGACCACTCCTGTTCTCGTAGGGCCCTGGGGTTACTAGCGTGTTCGGGAACCTACTTACGCAGTGCGTGCTTCAATAGAATTATGGGACTTACTGAGGAGATACAGGATGTTACCGAACTCCACTCCTGTTCTTGCTGGGCTTCGCTTTGCCGGCAGTACCGTCTTAGGCGTGAGAATCTGATATACGTTCTTACTATTACTGTTGCCAGAACTGTAACTCTTACTCTGACTGTCACTATTCCTTACTATGGTTTGTATTGATACTGTTGCTCATTATCATTACTATAATCATCTCTGATTACCAGCAGTCTTGGTGTCGGTTGTGGAACTAGTAGCTTCCGTATTGTTACTGTCCACCTGCGCGTGGCTGCAAGGCTCGGGGTCTGCAGGACAAATAGTCTAGTCTTATGAAGCTTGCAAAGCTTGCTTCAAGCCCTGAACAGATCATGTAGACCCATGACTTATAAACCACCCTCCTTTCCAGGCGGGCCTAAACGTTAGGATCCCAGTTATAATCCCTAACTATATTAAGGGTTTATTCATCAGGGGTCTGGGTTGGTGTGCACCCGCTTCAGGTTTCATCCTGACCGCATCCTGAACCCCGACACAGGCTGAGCCAACATAAATCATATATTGGGTACTGCTCCCACCCAGTAACAGTTGGCAAATATTGATAATATAGTATATATAACCCTTAATATGACCCTTAGTATAGACTGTTACTGGGTGGGGGCAGTACCCAACCCATATACAACCCCAACAGAACCCCTACGTAAACCCTACGACATCCCGCCACATAAGATCAATATATAACCCATGCGCCCCATACAGAGAACAGCCCAGGCATCAGTCCTAGGACGTTGATCTCATCCACGTTCCAGGAATTGGTGCAGTCTGATGGCACCACTGCCTCTTTCCTGAATGCCAACAGAACCGCCCTGAGACCCCAATAAGCCCTAAATCCTAGCCTCTAAACCACAATAAGCCCTGAACCCTAAACCCTGAACCCTAGATCCTAAACCCTATAAGCCCTGAACCCTAACACCTCACATCCCTTCACCCTAAACGTCGAGACATCCAGGGATGATGTTCAGAACCAGTATTGTCTTGGATGTATTCCTGGGGGCTTTGGTTTAGGACTTCAGGCTTATTCGGCCATGTGGTATGCAAACAGGTCATTGCTACTGCTCTTGCGGAATTCCGCTTATGAGGCGATTAAAGCTACCCCAACCCCTTAAATCAGGACATTTCTAAGGCATATGATAGTGGTGGGGTTCTAATGATTTCAGAATAAAAGTGGCGGTAACTAGAGTGACTAAAGACCCTGATTATCGATGGACCCATTAGTCGGGTCCCCCCTCGTGCAAGAAAATGGGTTCACAATACCTGGTGATGTTTATTGGGGTCATATGGGCGATTACCGTTATTACGACTACTGCGCGTTCATGTTATTATTGTACTTACTTATCCCTTGCCTTCCAAAGGGCATGGTT